TGCTGTTAGCACTTCAGTGGTAAATTATAATATGTTCTGCTCACAACAGTGGTTTGGTGATTTGGTGTCATATTTGGTGGKTTAACTAATACTCAGAAGTGGAAACACAATACAAGTTTTAGAGATTAATTCAACATGTCCCAAACCCCAAAACCTGCACAAAACCAGACAAACCCAGTACTTCAGTATGAAATATTAATGCTGTGACCTCCGTATGGAAATACAGAAAAACAAGCAGTGACCACATTTGCTGATATATGAGAAACATAGCAGTAGCAATAGAATAATAACTTGTTATGAACAGTTAATTTTAATAAATTTACTTGTATGTTAGCCTTTTCCCTTCAGATTTTTCCTGGTTTTGGAGAGTGAAGGGTTTCCTCTGGACAGGGGAGGGCAYGGGGCTCTCTGTTTCTATTTCTTATAAATATGTTCCTTTTATTCTTCAGGAAAATACAGTAATACAAACTTTACTGAATGGTTTTAAATTGACATGGGGTTTCCAGAGCACGACAAAAATGTATGTGTTGTCTGGATTCAGTCCAAAGCATCTTTACTTGTGAACTGGCTTAGGCCAGAGAGACAGGATGTTCCACAGAGCAAAAACCATGTGATTAAAGAACATGAACAAACACAGAGTATATTATTAACAGAACACCAGAGTGCATTTCATGTTGGGTTTTCTGGCTGGTGACCCATGGAGTTGACTSAAAAAGTTAACAGAGAGACAAAGGTCCGGTCTGTTCTAACATAACTAACAATCACAAAAGATTCTCTGAAGCCTTCTCTCGTGTATGGTGGTCTGAAAGAGTTGTTCACACTGGCTCTGACAGGGCTGTAAATATATCCCAGTGAGATGCTGTGCTCAGGAACATGTCCTGAGAGAGTGTTACAGCATCTGCTGCAGAGGGGTTTTATCTTGATTCACCTTATGTCTAGAAATTAAGCTCCCTGTTGCCTCCAGGCTCATCATGCTGTCAACAGTATCTTCATTTCTCCCTTGTGCTCTGACTCACTCCTGTCAGTGCCATCCTGTCTGTCCTACTTTGTGGCCTCTTCCATTTTCAGGATGTGGCTGARTCCTCCACATCCTGATCAGCAGCTGTCTAGGCCACGATCTGTGTGGGCAGACCTTGAGTCACTCTGTTTTGTGGTGAGGATGCATGTAATTGAGGCATGAGGTGAAGGGTGTACAGTGTTTGAAGGCTTGTGCAGCGCTTGAATAGCAGCTGACAAAGAATTTTGATCATAAGCAGGTAGATAAGATAGAGTAGTCTTGACTGGTCATGTCTGCCCTTACAGAGGATAATTGAAACAAAATTAACATTTTTTGTAGTTGTTSATAGCATTAGAAGGTTCTGCTCCTGGGCATTTGCATGCCTTTGACCCCAGAAAACCTGGAGAGATCCATGGATCTTCACCATGAGAATATTTCACTTGCTGTATTTTCCTGAAGAATAAAAAGAACCTGTTTACAAGAAATAGAAACAGCCCTGTGCCCTCCCCTTCCAAGAGGAAATCCTTCACTCTCCACAAGTTTTTTCAGGAAATTCAATCAGTTTTGGAGTGACTGTCTCCCATCCTCTTCACATTGATGTCTTTTCCTGGGAGCCTGCACTTCTACTCCCCTCTGCTAGCAGAGGGCTGAGGTGCCAGTGAGCCTGTGAATGTGTGTGGATCCTGGTGGTCTTTTACAAAAGYTTGTGCTGTTCTGCAACGTGATAAAGCAAATGGCCCTTGAAACTAATTTAAATGAATTATGTTTGGGAAAGAAAAGATTAGATATAAAAAGAATTTATTTAAAAAAAAAAAAGAAAAGGAACTATATACCTTTATCTTTTGCTTTCTGCTCTCTGGCAGTGTGTAGATCCCTCCAAAGGGTACATCAGGCCCATTTTCATTTACTTTCACAGAAGGTTACTTTATTACAAACAGACTTAAGTATTTGGGATCTTCCTTCTCAGGGGTTGCACAAATAATATATCCTTTTCCACTGGCATTTAACACTTCTAGCCAAATGGAGAGCTCTAGCTGCAGTTTAACTCCTCTCCAGTGTTCCAGGCTCATCATATTAAACATGCATTTTAGCCGGGAGGGAAAGGAGCTGTGGAAGCAGTGGGTGTTAGATCCCTGATAGGCAAGGCGCTGCTGGTGAAGATGACAGCTTTTCCTGTAGTGCCCAGGAATTGTCTCCTCCCTCGCAGAGATGCCAGCTGCCTTCCCACCCCATCCCCACGGTTAGTCAGCAGACTGTTCCAAAGCACAAGATATTGTTAAGGCKCTTCCTCTCTCAGCTTTGTTAACTCTTTCTTCGTTTTTTGGAGTTAACAAAGGAAGAAAGGGAGGTTTTGCCGAGGCGGCCCGGACGGGAGATGGCTCTGGAAGCAGGACGAGCTCTGTGGAGCAGCACGTCTCAGGCTGCGGGGGATGCTCCGGGCTGGGCGCCGGGAACGGGGGGTGCAGCCGAGTCACAAAGCAGCAGAACCGGGAGGGCCGGGCCGACACCGCCTGAGTCACCCGGAGCCGGCAGCAGGGCACAGGATGGCCCTGAGCCTGCAGCCAGAGCTCCAAAAGCGGCTCCTGCACCTCAGCAGCCTCTGCAGTGGGGAATAGTGAGGGCAGCAGGATCAGGGGAGGCCCCTGTGCTCGGTGCTGCTGAGGCTGCACCTCCAGTGCTGTGTCCAGTTCTGACCCCCCCAATTTAGGAAGGACATTGAGGGGCTGCAGCGTGTCCAGAGAAGGGTGAACAGTCTGGAACACGAGTCCTGTGGGGAGCAGCTGAGGGAGCTGGGGTTGTTTATCCTGGAGAAGAGGAGGCTCTGGAGAGACCTCATCCCCCTTTAGAGCCTCCTGACAGGAGGGTGCAGCCCCCGGGTGGGGGTCGGTTCTCTCCTCCCAGGCAAAAGAGACAGGACAAGAGGACACAGCCTTAAGCTGCACCTGAGGAGGTTTAGGCTGGACATTAGGAAGAGTTTCTTCCCAGAAAGGCTGATCAGGCACTGGAATGGACTGCCCATGGAGGTGGTGGTGTCACCATCCCTGGAGGTGTTCAAGGACAGACTGGATGTGACACTCAGTGCCATGCTCTGGTGACAAGGTGGTGTTGAGTTATAGCTTGGGCTCGATGATCTCAGAGGTCTTTTCCATCCTAATTGATTCCATGCCTGTGATTGTGTCTCTGAGAAACACTATTCAATGGCAGGTAATTGGTAGTGCTCTGGTTTCCTGTGGCTTACCGCCTGTTCATTTGTGTTGGGGCTGCTCAGCTGCTTTGTGAACCTGGAAATGTGCTTGAAAGCTGATGAGCTCCCAACWCAAAGTAAAACCTACAGTGCTTTTAGATCTCATCCACCAGAACTGTGGGGCTTTCTGTGAAGCTCTGGTTCAGGTTTGCATGTAATAGTGAAATGAAAACTTGGCACTTCTTTCAGGCTCATTTAGAGAAATGTCCCTAGGTAATGAAACAATTAAAGGACCAAATTATCCTTCAGTACTTGCATTCTTCAAAAAAAGGCAAATATTTTAGAATCCTGTAGCAGTCAAGAGGTACCAGTGAAATCAGCTGGCCTAGAAATCATTTCATGTGTCCTTGGTATGAAAATGCATTGAAGTTTCACAACAAAAAAGCAAACATAACTTACTGTGACCTGTTTTCTAGCCTTGGGACAAGATTAAATTTGAACTGGTGACAGGTATCAAAGTATTTGCTTAAGCAAACAGAGTAAAAGTTACTTAAGTCTTTTGGAATGTTCAGTCACCCATTTCTGCATGATTTGCATGATAAAATCTCAAAGAATGGAATAGAAACACTTTTCATATGTAAAGTAACAATCATCAGGTTCTTCCAGAATGTTCTATCTTCATACTGAAATGTTCTGCAGATTTTTCTGTAAGTTRGGTGGAGTAAAAAGGCAAATTTATAATTAAAAAGCAGTTTTCTGATGCCATCCCAAATAGATTAAGCTACAATTGCGTTTCCTTAATCCAAACATTTTGAAATTAAAATTGCTTTTACTTGGAGCTCTGTCCCCATTTATGTCACAATATTTTGTTTACTAGCAGAAAAGTTCTGCTAGAAAAGTCAGAGGCTGTAAGTAACATTTTTTTAAATCTTTGTCCTTCCTTGCAAAGCCTCTCAATTTCTTAATGACATTTAAATTTATTTCCCTTTTTTAATAAAGTTTTTCCATGGTGCAGACTTAGGGATATTTTAGCTATTTCTTGGCTATTGTCTCCAAATACTTGAGAAAGCCCTTAGTACTGAACTGTTCTGTTTGTACTTCTAAAGATTAATTTTTCTCTCTGACTGATGAGGCTTACTTATTTTTCAATAACTTGCAGAAAATGAACTTTGGCAATGAGATGATCAGACACCTCATAGGGCTYCAGGGAGCTGATTCATTAATATCCCACCTTTGGTATTATTTAAATATCCCTCTGAGCTTGTTTTAAGATATGATATGAATATGAYATATGATATGCATCATCTTGCATTCAAAAAAGAAATAATTATGAGAAATGCCTACCTTTTCTCTGTTACTGTTGACAGATTTTACCCTGTGAGTGTCCTAATGGACAATCTGATTGTTACAAATATTTTCATAGATTGGTGCATTTGTTTTTATACTAATGTACACTTTSGATTGTCTTTGTCTGCTGAAAGGTAGGGGATTGTTTTGGTTTGGGTTTATTTTCCGGTTCCTCACTACCTCTTACTTCTGTTATCTGTTTCCCAAGCTGGTTACGTACAGTTGCTGCTATTTTTAGCTCTTTTCTGACTTTTATTAATCTTGAATTTCCAGGATTGTCATTATGACATTTGGGACAAATGTTTTCTAATTAAATTCGCCTCTTTTGAACTGCCCTGATTTATAGGATCTGTCTAAAAAGACATATTCTAAATATAATTTATCATTGCTAGAGATACACCTTTTCCTGACACAGATACAGTCAGCAGTTTGAGTTTTGGCTACAAACCTACTTAGTTTCTTGTTTTTCAGGTCAAAGTAACATCCAGTCAGGCTTTGCATGGCATGAGGCAGAAACAGGATTTTCTAGCATGGTGAGTGCTTGTAGAATCAACCAGCTGATGATTTCTAATGATCAAGAATTCAGGAGACACTGCATCCTAAATACCAGCAAAAGGGGGTCAGTAATCTGCCAAGTAAATTTTRTTTCACCTCTCCATGTTTTAGAGGTGGCTTCAGGGAGGAATTTAGGAAAGGCTCATTGCAGGATGATTTAATGTGAGCTCTCACGAGGATGGAAAGGAGCACTGCCAGTGGGAAGTTCACAAATGGAGGTTGAAGRAGCTGTTTAAAATTATAATATGGGTAGGGATTTAATGATGGTGTTCATGAGAAGACCTTAAGTAGGGATTGTGTAGCAGAGGATGTTTTTCCCTTTAGTACTCACTGATTTCAATTGTAAACCCTTTCCTCTTTCATTCTTTGTTAGATATGGACTTTTCCAGCCTCTTTTTTTTTTTATTTTTTTTTCTTCAGGGAATATTGAGCAGAAGTGTCTCTTACCAGGTTTTAGTTTGCTCCTTTTCCAGGCCATTTTCATTGACTGGTTCCAGGCACAGCTAGAAAAGATCTTGCAAGGTCACAGAGTTCCTGTGTTATCTCCTTGGCCCAAGGCAGGTTCTAATAACATTAACATGCTCTCAAGCATCCTGGCAGACAGTCTTAGAAGTTTCCAGTGATACAGACTCTCCCATATCCCCAAGCAATTTAAAATTATTTTTAATAGAAATTTTTGCCGTATAAATGAGAAATAAGATAAATAATCTAACATGATTTCAYTAATTGTACAGGGACACTCAGGTTTTGACATGAGCAGCAGAGACAGAGGTTTATGAACTTGACTGCTGTATTTATGAAAGAAGGCATGATTAAGTGAGGTGTATTGTGCTGCAATAATGGTTACAGGCTGTTTGTTCATGTTCATTGGAAACAAAGCCCTCTGTGGTGTGGTCTTTTGATGTACAAGAATTGCATCCMCAGGCCTTCAGTCAGTCCCACTCTGGCCCAGGATGGTCAATCAGTGCCATTTTAATGGCATCCTTTCCACTTCTTCTTGGCTAAAGAAAAACAGGAGTACAACGATGCAGTACATTTCAAAGTCCTCCTCAAGAAGGAGATTACCCTGCAACCTAAATTAGGCATATTATGGAATTTCTGCAATGCAGAAAGAAATATCCAAGCTAGTTTGAATTGGCTAAGAAGGTTTTGGGATTAAACTGTGTAGAGGAGGCCTTCTGTTATACTGGCTTTTGAGTTTTATGGTCTTTTATTTGTCTGATGCCTGTTCTGTCCCTAAAACATAAGGAGCAAGGAGCAGAGCTGGAGAGAATACAACTGGATGATGCACTTGGTTTGCTGTAGAGGAATCATTTACCTTTRCATTGCTTACTTACCTCCTGTCTGGTTTACCATGACCTGCAARGGAACATTCCTCTTCCACAGCCAAGGCATTCAGGCGGAGTTAATTGAGCAATTAAATTATCAGGTGATGGAAATAAAAAATCTCATCCGCATAGAAGGGTTTAGCAATCTGGCTCCTTTCAGTTTCTGACTTACTATTATGTAATGTGTGTGTTGCTCCCCAGGTGCACTCTGTGCAAAACAAAGAGGGAAGAGCTGTTCTGATTTATGCCCTAGTGGAGATGACATCCATGACTTCTGTCAACTGACACAGAAGAAGGTGGCACTYGGGGTTTCTGAGGAGACACTGAGTGTGGACAGTCCATTCAATAGAACCTCCCTTCCCAACTCCTCCTTTCTGTGGAGTCTCCTATCAGGAATAGCAGTGGTTGAGCTAACAAACGTGTTACACCCTTTCTTTCCAGCTGAGTGTGTTCCACCTGTAAGTGTCCATGAAGGGGTGAGCAAAGTTAGACAGTGTCCAAGTGCTGCTGTATATTCTTTATACAGAATTGCAAAGGGAAGCAAATTCCATTTTGGAGAAGGGTAACAAAGATGATTATTGCCTGGCTGAAGATCCATGACAAGTAAAGGTGATTTAAGATGCATCTATTTTTCAAGAATATTGATGTGGCATTTGGCTATGCCAGCTGTCCAACTTGGCAATTCTGGGAGTACATGTAATAAAAGCACATCAGAATTTTAGCTCCTTCTTCCTGTACAGGGCTACCAGTACACAGGTTGTTGTTTTAGCTACAAAACTGATAATGGTAATAAACACACTCTTGTCCATAGTGTGTACATGTTTCTGCTCTTTTGAAATTCTCAAGGGAAATTAATTCTGCAGAGAGGTCCAGCATGCCTTAAASCTGAGGGAGAGACTAGCCCTGGTCATCTCTTGAGTTGAGGAAAATGTATATTGTGCACAAAGGTCCCAGGGCCAATGTTATGTAAGACTATATGCTCCTGTATCTGAGAGATGGCTCTTTAGGCTTTATTTTTAATATGATCCATGGAAAGTAAAGGGCCTGACTGAGGTTCATGGACTAGATTTGGTTGCAATGTTTCTCCTTAGACAAATGGGTGGCTTGAGAACCTGTGCAAAAATTGCAGGAAGACACTCTTATCAAACCTGTTTATATCCTATTCAACTTGCCCAGAGACAAGATAGTGGCAAAAGTCTACTTGTATAAATATATTRATTTTCCTCTCTGCCCTTCAACTGCGAAATCTGATCTCTGGATGTCTCAGTGAAAACATTTATTTGGTACTTGAAATTTAAACAAGCCTGTATTCTAGTRTCTTAGGATGTTTGCTTTATTTTTGATTAAAAAGTTCTCCGATTTTTTTTTTTTTGCCTCCATGTAGCCTGATCACTTAAGCAAGTCTCCTGGTGTTCTTGGATTTTAATTAAAAACAAACATGTGGGGGAGGTTGGAAGCATTTTTCCCTTGTGCATGGGAAGGTTGTCAGCATCTTGGCCAATGTGAAAATGAGAGCCAGGGGAATATGGTCTGTTTGAAGGAATTAGCTTGATGTTATCATGTCCTCTCTCACCATAACACTTCAGAAGGAAACTGTCCTGACTTGGCAAGAGATGATGGCTTGGTGTGGGGTGGATGTGCCCTGGCTCTGTCCCTGCTGTCTTTGAGTGGTTAGATAGGTTCTCATCCTTGGCTGGATGATCAGCAGTCTCTTGGGCTGAGCTCTCATAGGCATCTTCCATCCATGTTCCCTCTTCCCTTTTCACTAACACGTAATTCCACAGACCTGTGCTTGGCTACTGTTTTCCTCGGTAGTTTATTGCATCAACTGATCTTTTCTAGCTCTGAAAAACATTTAATTTGTAATTTCAATTTGTTTAGCTTTAATTCTCAGCCTTAGGTTGGGCCAGCTGCTTTAGAAGCCCTTGCTGTGTGTCTTATGGAGGAATTAAACAGATGGAATTCTTTAATTAGATTATTGCAAGGTATTTTTTGGCTCTTAAAAAATTCTGCTATTCTTAACTCTGAATTTTTCAGTGTTTCAGTTTTGGACCCTAGAGCTTGACTCAGGYTACAGAGTCATTTTCATCTGTTCCWGGCCTAGAAGTACTCCCTGTTGGTTACGGTATTCCAGGGCTGTATACGTGTAGCTCAGCCTCAGAAGAGGAACCAATTGCTCAATTACTATATTCAATCTTCAGACATAAAACTGACCTAGAAGTGGCATTAAACTTCCATCTGGAATCAAACACGTGATTCTCACCAGGCTCTGCTAATCCTATACCCAAAGAGATAATTTCACTGATAAACTGAGTAACTGTGTACCTGCAGAAATCACTTACTCCTCATGATAGAGGGCAAAAAAAGAAAAAGTTAGGCAAGTCAAACTAACAGCAAGCTTGTTTTTATCATACCAGGCAGGAGATTAATAAGATCACTTTGAGGTCTGACCTCTAATTTTGTATACAAAGGTCATGGCTCTTGTTGGAGAGATCAATTAATACATCAGAATATCAGGCTCAATGCAGAAATGCCATCCAAAGAGTGTACAGGGCACCTTTGCTACTGTTTATTTGTTATAGCAGATAGTTAATCTGTTTGCTACCTGTTCTATTTCTCTTGCTCAAGAGCATTAGCAAATGTTTATTTGACAGAATGTTCTGTTCCTCTCCTATTTTTTCAATTTTTTTTAATGTCCTCTGTCCTAAGGGAACCAGGGCGAATCTCAGAGCAACTCCACGTTAGAAACCTCATGTTGCAAGCTGAACTCTGGTCAGACCAATTTTGTTACTGCTGATGGGGAAAGAGTAGAARGCAATGGGCTGGCAAACAGGGAAAAGGCCTTTAACTAAAGGGTAAGAAATCAGAAGAGAGGAGATGCTTACAGCACTTTGACTCACMTGAAAACACTCAACAAATTRCATGCCAAGGTGAATAGGTTATTTACACCAGTAGGAGTGAAAAGCAGACTTGTGAGTAGAAGCAACCACTGTCCTCTGTTGGAAACAGCACTGCTGCCTGATCTGCTATGGCTGCCCTCCTGTTGTTTTAGTAGCAGGCTGGGCTTGAATGGTCCCATTCAGAAATATCCAGAGTTCCCAATGCTGATCCCAGAGGCATTGCTTTCCAGTAGACCAATTCATCAATTTTCTCTAATGCTGTTCATTCAACGTGCACTGAAAGTGTGCACATGATGCAAGTCCCTATCATTCTCCTGTGTACGTGTGATGCCAAAGAAGTGGCAGCCACCAATGCTGGTTAACTCTTGGAAATGACAGAAATCCTGGCTGCTAATGGCAGAAGGGGAGTSGGAAATGACAGGCTGGCAAATGACAGGCTAGCAAATGACTTGTCAGAAACAGATATTTATATGAGTGCTGGAATGCCACTGTCAGAGGTGGACATTTAGGAGGGGAAACAAAATAATGATAAGATGCTGAACYCCCTCATCCCTTTCACTATGCCYCAGGAAAAGGTAAATTATACTCATYACCCAGCAAATGTTCTTAAATTTAGTTCCCACAGGAGAATTTGCTGAGCCATATACACTTGTCCAGTCAGAATGCCCCTGCTTGTTTCTGTGGTTTGTGTTCTGGTACATTTGAAGGTTGCTTTTGTATTTTAGGCAGGCAACAGGCCTTGAAAGAGACTGGCAAGCTTTGAGAGCAGCCTGGGGATGTTCTTTTTCAGTTAATTCATCTCTGTCCTTCTCTCTGCTTTCAGTGGATGCAAAAGGCAAGGAAGGCTGGCTGGGTCAGTCCAGGAATATGATGGTACCTGTCTGTATCTGTTTACACCGAGTGGTGTCRTGCATCCCAACATCTCTGTCTCCATGAAGTGTCTGATTGTTTGGGATGGAATGCAGACATCTGCATGTAGACATCCAGCTAGTTTCTACCTTGTTGTTAGATATTTTCAGGCAGAAAGAGGGTGACAGCCCCTGCCTCTCCTGTCTGACAGGCACTCTGGATGGATGGAAGAGGCTAAATTAAAACCAGCAGAAGTGGACTTTCTGGTTTTTCTTGATAACTGGTGTAGAGAAGGGAGCAGTCTGTGCACTGCAATTAACATCAAGTGCTATTGCAACTCGTCCTGTAATGCGATATAGATACAATCTCAGCAGAAAATTGAATCCTGCGCTGAGTCAGAAGCAGAGCAGTGCTGGGTTTTGAAGAAAGTAATTAGCCCCAGGGACCCAGTGGTTTCTCATTTCCCCTGTGGCAAACACAGGGAAGTGGGGCAGTGCTTCCTGTAGGTTTCCAAAATCAATTTAGACAAGGTTCAGAGCCAAATTATAAATCAAATTTTAAATGAATACTCAGCAAGGGGCAGGCACACCTTCATTCTTCCTGCAGTGCCCACCAAGTACCACTCAGTGCCATTCTGCTGTTCTTTTGTGAGCTCTGAGTGCCCCATCTCTGTCTGGGCACTGAGCCCATTGCAGCAATGCTGTGACAGCGTGTGCCAGACCTTCAGGGTCACCATTCACCACCCTTGGCCAGGGTGACCTGTGCTCACCTCACCACCTCTGCCTGTCAGCCCTTGGTTCAGCAGTGGCCCAACACTTCCCAATGCTGCCCTGTGCTTGGCCTTCACTAAATCAATGATTTGAGGTTTTGCAGAACTCATTGATCACAAATTCTGCTTTCTTTCTCCAGCAGAAGATCAGAAGTGTACAGAAATAAGACCCTGGTAGCCAAGAAAATTTTAATCTTACTAAAGACAGGATGTACTGGCTGAAAGCTGCAGCTTGAAATTAATACAAGAAACAAAKAATTGACTTGTTCAGGTAATACAGCAGGGATAAGAGTAGTCTTTATTTATGCTCTGTCTTTAAATTAGAATTAAGTTTAGAGCTCAAATATGTACAGTCTGCACCTGTTTGGGTGATGACAAGTTCCACCATCCAGGATTCTTGCTCCTGCTCTCCTGACATAACACTTGTCACCTTTCAGTGGTTTGTCACATCCAGAATAAAATCTGCAGGGCCTTTGGGGCATAATCACATCCTTGTCTCTTATGAAATGCATAGTCAATTTGAGGCTCTGCAGTGAAATGAAATGCTGTGTGTTTCAATGAGTTTGTCACACTGGTTTGTGATTCCTGCACCTCTTTTCCCTGAAGCTGCACCCAGCAGTGACAGCCAATATCTTACATGGTTCATACCTTATGTGCCTGCAATRAACACTTTTGTTCAACACATGTCCAGAAGTGCATGGCCAATGTAGCCTAGTCTGTGTGCTGCCTCAGAGGAGAGTTTTGCCTCACCCTTCTTTCATTCAATTGATGGAAAAACAAAAGATCCTAACGATCATAATCTGAAATATAATTATTTCCCTAGTTTTGTATCTTAAAATACTGGACACAGGAGTTTGCTTAGGAAGTAACTGCAAATCTCATAATTTGGACTCTATAAACTGTCGTGGCTGCTGATCCCAAGCAYATTCCCAATCTTCTGGATTCCCTAAGTGCCCTCTAGTGACTAATTCTTTGAACTGTGTTGGGTTTTCACAACGAGGTGAATGTCGGTGAGACACCAGCCAYTGAAGGGGTGGTTGGTGAGGGCAGGAACAGGATAAATGTCCTCAGATTATTTTGTGGGCAGCACTGGTTTGTTCTGCAGAAGCAAATAGAAGTGTTTGTTGAGCATCTGCAGAAAGCTCCGGGCAGCAAAGGAGAGAATGTGTATGTGCTCCTGTTGTGGAAGTAGCATGTCTGAGCTGAATGAGTCAAATCAAGTAAAAACCACTGAAGAAAAACTGTGGGGCTGACACTGCACAACACTTGAATGGTTTAGGTGAAGTGTGGCATTAATGCAATTTTCCTGAATATTAAAGATTCATGTTCTTCAATACTAATTCACCATGTTGAATTTGTTTCCACAATGAATTGGCATCTCAGTTTTCATGTAAATGGATCAGTGCTGTTAGCATTGCTTTTCATTCTGCAGCAAAAAGCTGGTTCTTTTTTTCTGGTGGTGCTTTAGGTATGGGGTTTTTTGGTTGTGTTTTTCCTTTTTCTGAGTTAAAAATCAAGCACCTTTTAAACATGCTTAATTGCATCCATTAATACAGCCAGTGTAGGAGTTTGGTTCAGGAACTGATTTATCTGGGCTATTAAAGTCATATGACAATGTGCTGAGGGCCAGATATGGAGGTGGTKTGCAGACTGGCACATACAAGRTTTCTTTATGTTCTTACATTGTATTAGCTGCCCACCAAGTTCTTTACGCCTACTCAGTTGGCAGGTAAGGGATGCTGGGGCGGTGTAATTTACGTGGTAAGCTCATCTTACCATATAAGCATTAAGAACATATAATTGAAATGCACCTCTCCTTRTTTGAACTTGCTTCTTTTCTTCTGTCCTACTTTGTATTTGCACTCTGTTCAATACTACAGGCCACAGACCTTATTTGCATGACTGGATGTTTACAGAAAAGTTAATTTTCTTCTTCAACTGGTAGCATRAATATTGGGGAAAGCAGAGTTTCATATGGATTTAACCATGGAGCAAAATCTCTCATTTACCTGAAATAGATGTATAGGGAGARTTCAGGGGAAGAAGGCAAACTGGGATTGGCTCGAGAAATGATCTGGAAAAGTGAGCTGTGGAAGGAGCAGCCACTGTTGGGATTTAAAGAACATGTCAACCTGCATGATGAACATTTGTATTTGTCTGTGTAACTCCAGTGGCAACCAGCGACAGGACATGAGGTCATGGAATGAAGCTGGGCCAGGGGAAGTTCACACTGGAATTTTGGAGAAGGTTCTTTCCTGAGAGGATGGTTCGTTGGTCACCAGAACAGGAAAGCCAGGAAAGTCTTCACAGCTCCAAGCCTGCCAGAGTTCCAGGAACATCTCGTCATCGAGTTTAGTTTTAGGTGGTCCTGTGATGAGCAGGGAGTTGGACCTGAGGATCATTATGGGTTGATTCCAGCTTGACATATTCCACTATTCTAACTCTAGCAATTTTTTTTCATTAGCTGAACTAATTTTAAGTAAATGCAGATTAAGATAAGACTGTTACGAACTTGCCTTTGAAGAAATATCTTGGTCCCTGGTTTGCAAATTTACAGATGATCTAGGGTTGATCTTACAAATAGTCTAGGGTTGATCTGTTCTAAATTATTCTAGTGCAAAACAATGRTAGCACCAAGGAACTTGATCACTAATGTGACTTTTTGTGTGAACTGCACTRAACAGAATGAGGAATTTACTGCATAAAAGGAAGAGTTGCCTTAGGCTTTCTGAGGGATTACAGGAAGATTTGGAGTATTGACCTTGCTTGGAAATAAGACTTTTAAACAGAGGCAGGCCTGATGTTCAGTAGGAAGTGTATGGGGGTTTATTGCTAGCTTCTTAAATTATCATGATTCTGTCTAAGTTTAAAGAAAAAGGTCTTGGGAAACAAAATATAATAGTTCAGTTTGAAGGGACATCCAGCTATCATCTAGTTCAACTGCCTGACCACTTCAAGGCTGACCTTSCCTCCCTCTCCCCTTGCCAAAGCACTGTGAAAAGTCAGTGGGCTGGTTTTGTGTGCATGGAAATATCTGGAGTCACATCTGTACACAAGAGGAGGCAATGCAGGTGCTGAYACTTTGTTCTCTAGACATGAGCTGAGATCTTTGCATCTCCACTCTAAGGATTCCTGACTGTAGCTTGTTCAAAGAGTTTTTTTTTGTGCTTTTGCTAAAATGCAGTGACTGCCTAAGTAGAATAGGAAGATGCTACAGACCAGGACACTCTGGTCTCAGATACAGTAACAAAGAAGCTGTTGTAAAAAGTCACATAAAATGAGTGGTTGTTTTTCCTCTAATCCCTTCTGAAGACTCACCCAAATTTTTCATGGGCAATTTATGTCACCAAATATCTTGGATCCATGGCACTAAATCCTACACAGCTTGAATAACTTAAGATAGCCACTGTGTCTGTATACATATACATATATATATATATATATATATACATAAATGTATAAACATGAAAGCACTAAGTGCTGAAAAAATTGTATATGCTGCATAATATCACTGGCAATGAGTTTGCCAAATCAGCTCTGGTACTAAGGCTTAGTGCAGCACAGATGATTCAGTCAAATACTGTTTTTGTTTAGTGAGTCCTAAATACTGACAACAAATGGGCAAGAGATCCCAATTTTTCATAAATTCTGAGTTTGTTTAGGAATGGTATTCCTCGATTTAGTAGTCCTGTTAAAYCCACCTGATGCTTGCTCCTCCTCTGATTGAAAGCACAAAATTCGAAAATGACAGGATGAGATAAGAACAGTTTACTGAAAACAGCAATGAGATAAGAAAAGCACCAGTAACAGCAATGATAKTAATAACAATAGGTATAAAACAAAGAAACTATTTATATGTAAAATAAAACAATACTGTTCTGTTTTTCCTGCCACCCTTTCTCCCACCAGAAGGAATGCCCTTCTTCTTGGAAGCCAGAGAAGGCTTTTCCCCATCCCTGGCAATGACTTTAGGTGGTACTGAATAACCTAAAGGCCCTGGCCAAAACTAGGACCTTTCTTTAATTGAACCTTTCTGCTTAATAATTAGCTAATAAGGAGGGGGTCTCCAACCCCACCMCAACCCCCCTGCCCTCAACCCTACAAACTTGAACCTCATTCTCCCAAACCCGGCAAAGGCTGCTTTGTTTTTCCTTTTGAAAGACTTTAGTGCATGGACAATAATTAACTTGTCACTTCAATGGGCAGTAGGAAAAAAAGGGGTTTTAGCTGTTTCTGTATTATTGCCAGGTCAGGGTGGTCAAAACCAGCAGATTAAGCTAGATCATGTATTCCTCCTAAGGAGCAAGAAATAKTCAGCATTTCATTTTGAGCACAGGGAAGCTTTAGTCTTTCCCGTGCTATGGAAATGAAAGCTGTCCAGTATATGACAGCATCACTAACTTGGAAATTGTGCAAATTGGCTGGAGAAAGGCTTGACAATTATTCTTGCATTACCTATGCTGCTCTGGATTTTCCTCACCTACTGCTCTGCCTAGCATCCCACYTCCTTTGTCATGGAGCTCAAGAGGGGAAAAATGGAAGTCCTCCACACTAAGTAGCTTTAAATAAAGGGAATTCTGCTTATTAGAAAAGTTACTTAATTTGAGAGCCTTTCCCCTTCCTCTTTGCGTCTTCAGAAGGGAATACAGTTTCTGATGTTCTCTCGCAAGGCAGTGTTTTTGTGTCAAGGCATCTGAGCTGTACTGCTGTCACAAGCTGCGTGGTTTGCTCTGAGGAGCKCTCTGCAGCCGTGCCCACGGTCTGCCACAGAAACACAGCAGTGCAGAATGTGCACATTCCTGGTCCTCCTGAAGGAAGAGGGGTTGGTGTGATCTCTACCAGCACAGTCTTTCCCTGACAACTTTGCTTGTGTGAGAGCAGGCTGCCTCTGTTCTGTAGGAAGTGGAGGAGAGCTTGCAGAGTGTGTGCACAGGTCCTTCTGCAGACACAAAAACTTGGGAACTCWGCAGGCCTCTCCCTCCTTGGGTCATTGAGCATAGATTAATCTTTGCTCCAGCTTTCATGTGGCCTTTGGGTGTTCTGAAGTAGCTGCCCCCAAGCACCAAACAACTTCCATGGCGAGTCTGTTTGTTACAAACTTTGTACTTCTCCCCCTCAAAACATCAAGTCATGTTTGGAAAAGCAGCTGCCAGTTCCAGATGGATCGCTGAATRACATCGTGGATCCACTGAACTGAACTGAAAGATGTTTTGAATTAATTTTAAGACAAAATGAGAAAAAGGAACACCCAGTGTCACAGAACTGAAACCCCGTTCTTCACAAGGGAGAACAACATACTCTCTGTTGGTGTCTCACACAGAATTTCACTCGACTGGAGCTAATGCTTGCTTCAGAGGAAAGGATTATGGGGGTAGTACGAGAGGTTTCCAAGGAACGGAGGAATGGTCTGATTTAAGTGAAGTAAATAATGAGGCCTGCTGGCAAATGAAACAGTGAGCCTAACATCAAGCTGTAAATGAGCAGAGATGAATATGCTGTCAGAAGCTGCTTTGCGGAAAGACTTCACAAAAGTGTTCAGTGAATGCAAACCATCTTGCACCCAGAGAAGTTAGGAGGGAACAGTGCAGATTCATAGCATTCACCACCAAAACCTGCTCTTTTGAACGTTGTTGGGTTAAACTAGTACAAAGTCAATGAGGAACTTTACATTTCAACAGCAATTTATGTGCGAGCTCACAGAGGAGAGGAGATTTGTGGTTTCTGTTTTGTCTAAAGCCCAAAAAGATGCTAATAAATGAATGCACAGCAGGAATTGCTTTTGTTTTCTCCTTTGTTGTTACCCTGGGAAGGACTAGAGTGACTTCTCCCACTGTCCCTAAGTGGACAAACTGTGCTAAATGGTCTAAGAGTTAATATGTATAAGTTTTGAGTAGACAATTTTATTTAATTGACTGTGCAACAAACATGAGTTTGATGTTTCAAATATGTTTATGAGGAAAAATCATTGTATAAAATGGTTATGACTGCCTGCCAGCATTAATGATATAACCCACTCTCCATGCCCAGGTGGAACAAAAAGTCATCCTTGATGACAAGGAAAGGGACTCTTAAGTACAGGGACTCTTAAGTACTGTTTTCATCTTCCTGGTGTTTGTAGAGCTCTCTAGGACATGGGTGGTTGAATGAACAGAGGCTGTTCTCAGTTGTGGTCACTGAAGGAATGGCTGTTTTTATCAAAGCAGGCAGTGAGCAATTGTGGGACTGTGACAGGCACGGTCTCAGCCCTTGTAGCTGTCCCTGAGCATCAGAAGCTGGGTCAGAGTTGCTGGTGTTCCTACAACTACCTCTGATGGCAATGGCTCCTCCCAGTCCTGCTGTCTCTTGCCCCACCTGTCTGATGGTTCTGGCAGCAGACCTGCCTGCTCATGTTCTCTTACCAGCTGTGCCACCTGACTGGACCTGCTTCTCTTCCTGCCCTTCATCCTTAAGGTTTCAAATCTTCCTTTTTTTTTTTTTTTTWTTTTTCCCCCTTTGCTTCTCAGAGAATGAAGGATCTTTACGTGGCTGTGGGAATCCAGTCCCACTTTTCATTTAGACAAGTACAAACCCCCATGTGCCCTGTGAATAATCCGTAGTGTGGTATGCAGGTCCTCAGACTGCTTTTTAATTACATAAACACTGATGAAGAATACTTGACCAATCTAATGGCCAAAGTGATGTAAAAAGCTGAACAACACAGATCAGGTGGCAGGAAATCTGTGGTGATAAGAATGTGCAGAGATCTCTTGTGCCTGTCCTTGTGTGCTGCAAGATTATCCCAATTTCTCACAATTTCTTGTTGGGCTTTATATGAGCTTGTCCCTTAGCTGAACCCTACTGGTCTCACACAGTGCTCTTTGGCATCTTTTCCAAATGTGATTGCACCCTCTATCACATGAATTAAAGCTGGTTTTCTACAGACAAATGGCACAATCCCTTTTATTCCTCCTGTGACTTGTGATTTATGTGCTATCTTCCTGCTACAATAAATTTAYGAGACCTAAATACTAATATCTACTAGGGATTCTTGTAGTGTTATGGTAACCTCTGAAGATAAAATTAAGGACGCCTAATGATTAAGGCTCTGAATTTGAAGCTTTTTTAAAATAGAGCAGACTACACATCTTTGTTTGCAAACCATGTTCGTAAGTACATCTTTGTTTGCAAACCATGAGGAAATTTGAAACACAAGCCCAAAATATGGCACTATAAAATAAAATTGCCTAATTTTTGTACCCTAGGAAGAGGAAGACTGTTAAATAGGAAAGTGCAGCATGTTCTATGGCATCTGCTCTATCGAACTATCAAAATATATCTTTGCACCCGCTAAAAATCYTCCGATCACGATCCGCCTCACCAGCGCCAATTTGGGAAGGAGGGCACGGCCGCCGCATCCGAGCGGGGCGGGAGCGGCTCCAGCGAGCGAGGCTGCACCGAGGCCGTGGGGCGGTGGGTACTGACGAGAGGAGGGGGAGGCCCGGCCCCGCCGCGGCCTCGGGGCTGTCCGGGGGAGATGGTGCGGGGGCAGCGGGCGGTGCGGGAACGGTGATGGTGAGGGTGCGGTGCCGGTGCGGTGCCGGTGCGGTGTCGGTGCCCGTGTGGGGGCGGTGCCGGTGCGTGGGCGGTGCCGTGTGGGGGCGCTACCGGCGGCGATTGGTGGAGCCGGGGCTGTGCCGGTGTGGGGCGGTGCCGGTTCTCCTGTGGAGGCGGTGCGGGGGCGGTGCCGGTGCGRTGCCGATGCCGGTGAGGAGGCGGTACCGGTGCCCGTGTGGAGGCAGTGCCCGTGTGGGGGCGGTGCCGGTGCCCCTGTGGAGGCGGTGCCGATGCCGGTGCGGGGGCGGAGGCGGTGCGGTGTCGGTGCCGTGTGGGGGCGGTGTCGGTGCCGTGTTGGGGCGGTGCCCCTGTGGAGGCGGTGCCGGTGCCGTGTGTGGGCGGTGCCGGTGCCGGTGCGGTGTCGGTGCCGTATGGGGGCGGTGCCGGTGCGGTGCTGTGTCGGTGCCGT